GTGCACTGAACTCACTGCATATTCAGTGCACTCGTGTGCTATCTAACTGTCCATCTAATGCGTTGACCGGATTATGTCCAGAAAAAAACAGATTGTAAAGCAATTTGGGATTTCAAAAGTGAAAAATTAATTTTTATATTACAAACACACAGTAACTCATATATCAAATTGATGCTCAAAAATAAATTTGAATATATCATACAATTTATCAAAAGTCAATGTTTGTGATTATAGCCCATTATTAGCATTTTATTTAATAATATAAAAGTGTCACCTAATAGCTGTTAATCATTAAAATTGAGTTCAAACTTTTGATTTTAATTTCATTGATTACCAACAGTAGTCAAACTAAAATCTGAATATTAATTAACATATGATAAAAAAAATTTAATGCATATTTAATAACATTAATAATAATAATATTCAATAAAATCTAGAGTGAATTAACTAAAAGTGATTTTTAAATAAGATAAATAAAATATCTATTAAATTAAATTTTAATTATATTTTTGAAAGTATAATAGATGTATTATTTAATTATTATTTTTTAATTGAATCTATATAAACTAAAAAATTAATGCTATTTAATTATTTATTTTATTTGCTAAATTACAAAATAAATCACTAACCAAATAACTGATGAAAGAGAGAGAGATAATAGCTGTGAAATGATTTTTCCGATAATATAAGGTGTCATTAGTTTATAGCTCATGGATTTGATGGCAACGACAACAACAACTAATGGTTTCCTATAATAGCAAATTCCTATACTATAATAATCATAATTATTATTATTATCGCTATTTACTGTATATAAGACAATCAAATCTGCAAAATGTGGTGCCATTTGAATCCAAATATTTTATTATTATTATTATTATTATTATTTTCCAACAGAGTTTAAGATTTATTTATTTACTTTTATGTCATTAATTTTTGTTCAATCATAATCATTAGATCAATGATGAGAAAGAGAGAGAGAGAGAGAGAGAGAGAGAGAGAGAGAGAGAGAGAGAGAGAGAGAGAGAGAGATGATAGTTGCACTGGTAGTTAGTTGTGTTAGGAATGGCATCGCATTCAATCTAATGATTTTATTTTTGAGGACAAAATTTATATCAGAAAATTCCTGAGTGTTTGAAGTCCTGAAAATCACTTTTCACTTTCAATGAGCTCTTTATTATAGATATATATATATATTTATATATTATTATTATTATTATGTTCTAAAATATTAATAAAGACCTAAATTTTTTTTGAAAAATATTTAATATATTAAAGTTTTTGGGCTGAAAATTACATCCAATTTATTATTTATAAGTAATTCATATCATTTTATTTATAAATCTATGTTATTATGTGCTGTGTTTAATATTTGTATTTTAAAACATACATTCAGACTAATATAATTGAATTTAATAATATGTAATTTTATAGACAATTTTAAATCTTTACAAAATAAATCACTTTTTAATCAACAGAAAATTAATAACATTAAAAACTACCGATTTTTCTTTAAAAAATAAGCGAATGTTTTAACTGTTAGTTAAATATAATGTTATATAATAAGGGAGTAAATAAAAACACATTTTACTATAAATATCTTATTTGTAATTGACTTTAACTGTTATCTACTATTTCCCTAAACATTATGCCTTTCCTTTCCAAATAAATATACAAACATACAAATAAAAGTAGGTCTCTCTCTCTCTCTCTCTCTCTTTCTCTCTCTCTCTCTCTGTCTCTCTGTCTCTCTCTCTCTCTCTCTCTCTCTCTCTTCTCATTCATTGTTAATATAAACTTTATATTTAGTGATATACTCTCGGCATTTAATGGTACAAAAGGCGCCGATAATGTCATTTTCAGTTTACCTCCCATTGCCGACTAAATATGAATTGATGCCCATTCCCTCCTCCCTTTCCCCTCATTACTCAACTCGCATTTGTATTGATTTTTGAATACCGGAGCTTTAATAGTTCAACATTTATATATTATATATATCATATATCCATCTTTAAATATCAATGGAGATATAAAAAAATGTGAATTTTTATTTGAAGTAATATTTCATTTATTTAGCACACAATTTTATGACAATTTTAACTCAATAATATAAACAAATTAATAATAATAATACAATAATATACACATAAAAAATTATGGCAAATGCCAGCAAATATATGGTTTAGTTTTTTTTATATACAGTACAATGAAAAATATTTGATTGCATTGTTTAAATAGTATATCATAAATAAAATCAGTTAATAGTTAATATCATTTTATTTTTATTATAATCACATATTATAATCTAAAATTTATGTTATACTAATTAAATATGCAAACTAAATATATACATATATAAATGAATAATTGCCAAATAAATTTGAAACAATAAACTTTAATGTTGTTTCCATTATTATTATTATTATTACCAAATGTGTATATATATTAAGTTATTGTAAAATTCAATTACAATTTATATATCAACTTATATACTGTATATATAAATATAAATTTATATGAGTTTTCACATTAACTATTCATTTATAGTAATTACTAATATTTTTATTAGTTATTATTAGTAGTATTGTTAGACAGTGTTTGACTTTTATAAAAAAACGTCATCACTTGATAATAACAAAGAGACCACCAGAAAAACATCATAATTGTTATTATGATTGTGTTATTGTATTTAATATGATTTTCATATTATTTTACTGGTCTACACATTAATGAGTCTAAATATATCAATAGATTAATGATATTAATTTCAGTTTTGTATGCAAACCCGCTGATACAGAATCATATGAAAAAAAATGTTTTATATATAACTTATATAACTTTATTGTATATTTATATACAATAGTTATTTTGAAATTAAATGTCTTTACATTTATATTCAATTAAAATATCTTTTATCATATTATTTTAATAAATTTAGTATAATAAGTTTTATAAAATACGTTTTTTAATTATTTTAAAATTATCTATGTCTTTTCGAATTAAATTATTTAAATATTTAAATTATTTAAATTTCGAAATGTTAGCATAATTTTTGATATAATAGTTTTAATAACAATCATAACTTTTATTATTATTATAATTGTAAATTTTATATGAGATTATAAAAATTAAATGATTTGTTGAATTTGTTTTCTTTAGTATTATTATTGTTGTTTTATTATATAGAAAATAGTATAATAAGCCATTATTTTAAATATAAAATGCTTTATATTTTAAATGAAATCATATATAAAAAATATTACTACTTTTTATTGACATTATTATGATTACAATTATTATATCATTGTTGAAAAATATTTCTTTTATCATAATCATTAAAATAATATATTATTCAAATCAAATTCAAAATCAAATAAGAAACTATATATAAAAAATATAAACAAATATAACATTAAATTGATGTAATTCTTCAAATGATTTACATTTTATTTGAATTTTATAAATATTTAAATGTAATCCCATATACAGTATTACTTTATATATACAATATAAGTTTTATGTGAGTTTATATGAATAATAATTCAATTTATTTTATCAAAATGATAATTTTAAAAATATTTTTTTATTTTTAAAACTTTTATGTTTTTGTTTATGTAATATTTATACTAATCAATATATAATACAATATAATACAATATAGTGTGTGTGTATGTTTGTGTGTGTGTGTGTGTGTGTTTTATACTGATATTTTTATATCTGAGTTACAAAATCAATATATGATTACCGGTAAACTTTTTTTCAAATAACTGGTCGATCTATTTATTTATGTCTCAAAAAATATATAAAAAAGTCTAATAATGAGGTTTAATATTTGAAGGCAATAATAAAATAAATATAATGTAATAAAGTACTGTATATTAAATTTTATTATTATTATTATTATTTGAAAAAATGTTATCAAATAAAATAAAAGTTTGAGACAATTGAGGTTTTGGTTATTAATCTCGCAAAAGTCAACATTGAAATTGAATTTTTTTTGAATACATTTAATACATATATATATATAATAATATACAGATTTAATATCTAATCAATAGTTCATTAAAATACACGAATACTACTCAGAATTAAACAAATATTTAATTTGAAAACCTATAATATATTATACAATAATAGGTTTTTATTGCTAATCACTATCTGTTTCAACAACAATAAAAAAATGTAAAATAAATAATTTTTAATTTAAATATTTTTTTGCTTTTTATACAAATATATATATAGTGTCCAAACAATTTTATTTTAATAATAATAATAATAATAATAATGAAGACAGAGATGACAGTACTCGGGAATCAAGTGGTGATAAATCATTAAATTTTAATAATATCCTAAAGTCTCGACAATTTAGCGAAGAATATTCATTGTCATCGCCGATATCTTCGCGTTCAGAGTCACCTGAAATTGATTTAGTAGATGACGACAATGTCAACAACAAGTGTAATGTCAATAAAGAGACCAATGATGTTGTGGTCAATGGTAAGAAACATAGGAATGTATTCAAAGATGAAGAATCGGATGATAATAATAATAATATTAAAAATAAAAGAAATAGATATAGTATTAGCTCTGACGGCTCGATGACTACTGCAAGTCAGTCACCGAAACCATTATCACTGTTAACAACTCAAAAGTTGGTTGTGTCGACCCATTCCTCGCCGGTATTGTCGTCGTCAATGTCGCCGCCGTCGACATCGTTGCCATCGAAGCCCATATCAGTTACCGATCACAGTATATCACAGTTGTTAGCAAATAGTAGTCATAATAGTAGTCATAAAACTGGTAATAGTCATCATCAACAACATCATCATCATAATAGTAGTAGTAGTAGTCATCACTTTAATGATAATAATATTAATAATGCCAACCAAAGCAGTGGCACAGTTAGTAAAGGGAGTTCACCGCAAGTTATACTCAACAACAACAATAACAATCTGAGTAGTTGTGAATCGCAGCCAAATCTGACATCAAATCCAATGGGAGACAAACTTTTCAGACCATTTCAGGTATGACTGTGACTAAACCTATACATCAAAAAGCATTGTACCGATAGGGGAGAGAGAGAGAGATGGTATGCCATAAACATTAGTAGGCTTTATAGTTGCTGTTTATAAGCAATACTAAAATATAATAGAAATATAAGTCCAGAATATATAATAATTATTAATAATTATGATTAGACTTTTTTTCTGGTTTACGTATTGTCATAATGTTATATACAGGTATACAGTACTGTCTGTATATAAATTCCCAGTTTGACATTATAAGGGACTTTTCATTTATAGTATACTATATATAATCAAAGCATTCAATTTAATGTTAGCTTTCATTCAATTATTAGTCAAAGTTTTTTTTTGGGTGTCTGTCTCTCTGGTTTATAGTCTCAACACTCTTAATATTATTGATAAATCAGAAAACAATTTCTACATTTACTATATAATACATAGTTATTGCTTTATTTTTTATATAAAATAGTTTTTATCATATATAGCAAAAAAATAAAAATAGAAACAATCACTACTAATTTGACTGATTGAAATATTTGTTTTTTTATTAAATATTAATTATAGTTATATATATATATATTATTTATAAAATAGCTGTTAAATTTCTCTTTTAATAAATTCATTATGTAATTATGTCATTTTTTTATTTTTGTTTATAACATAAATTTATTGTACACACATCATAAACTGAAAAGTTTCACACATTGAAATTTATTGTACAATACTATTGTAAAACAATTATGTGATTTAAAAATCATGGATTGATTTATATTATTATTTTTTAAATCTCTATTCAACAATAAATTTTTCTAATATAAAGCCATATTCTTTAAAGAATATTCTATGATTTTTAAAATCTAATCTAATTAATTGATTTTGATTTTTATAGGACATTCCTCGCTATTTTAATCTACCATTATATGGCTTTACTGGTAACCCATTCCTCAGTTGCAACAGTAAACTGTCGCCAACCGAAACGTCTGCATCGGCCGCAATGTCGCCATTCCTGACCGCTGCGGCCACACTCGGCAACGGCGGACCGTTCAGTGATGGGTCGCCGCTCAGTGCAGCACATCATCACCATTTGAATCACTATAAGAACACGTTTTTCGGTGCCGTCGGTGGCGGTCAACCGTTTGGCGAGAGTATAGTCTTTTCGTGTATCAAATGTGACAAAATGTTTAGTACGCCCCACGGCCTCGAGGTTCACGCCCGTCGGTCGCATTCCGGTAAGCGGCCGTTTGCTTGCGAAATGTGCAACAAAACGTTTGGCCACGAAGTCAGCCTATCTCAACACCGGACGGTACACACGGCAGAGAAAACGTTTGAATGCAAACAATGCGGCAAACAGTTTAAGAGGTCGTCCACACTGTCCACCCATTTGTTGATCCATTCGGACACTCGGCCCTATCCGTGCCAATACTGTGGCAAACGATTTCATCAAAAGTCTGATATGAAAAAGCATACATACATTCATACAGGTTTGTACACATTTTTTTGTGGGTTTAAACTTTTTTTTGGTGTTTTTTTGTAGTAAATATTTTTATTAAATAGTTTTCTATACTTGTATAGAGTTGTACCGATATTATATACAGTACTCTACCAGTATTGTCACTGTTTTTTTACAGTACAGTATTATTATATACCGGTATATACTCTACTAATAGTCATTGAATTTGTTTTATGAATGAATGGATTTTCAATTTTCACTGTCATTTAATAGCCATTACTACACATTACAGTGAATTACACCACAAAAGTACTATACATAACACACACACACACACACACACCCAACTGTTTTTGTATTTCAGTACAACAAATACTACAGTAATTAAAATGAGAGTCAAAACTACCGTTTTTTTCACTTTCCAAATGATGACTTTCCTTAATGATTGTCTAATAGTGTATTAGTGAACATAAAAAAGTGTTGTCCACTAAATTGAAAACTTTTATTTTATGGCAATATTATGATATTTTAGTGGGCAGTAACTGTGCTTTTTTTTTATTATACCATATATGATATATTAATAATTTCTATAATACTTTTAGTAATATAATTGAAATTTGTGTGACCACTAAAAACATATAACACATTAAGTGCTGATATTATTCAGTCAACTCCTACTTGTAATCAAAAATTATTAGCAAATGATTGTTATTCAAAGCCATATGTTTATAAAGATAACGAAAAAAGGCATATAATAGTAATTGATTTAAATATAATTTGCATATTTTGTTAGTTAAAAATCATTTAAAAGGCATCAGTTTATGGGGACAAAATTAATTTTACTATTATTACCATTGTATATATAAGTGTAATACTGTAAATGGACTAATCATTGAGTTGTTATTACGATATTAATGTAATTTTATTTAATGTAATCAGAAATGAGATTAAAAATCATTATAATAATTGTAACCTTTAATAGTTTTTTAAGACTATTTATATTTAATATATATATATATATTTTGTTTAAAATATGATTTTATTTGTCATAGTTTTAAACACGAATTAGATAATTAAAAATATATTGTTTTCTATTTACAGTATTATCTAAATACTATAAAAATTGAAATATTACTTATATTTGTTATTTTTCTTTTAAATAATTTAATGATTAATGATTTTGCGTGTTTATGTTTAGATATTTTCAATGATTAAAATAAATTTTTTAAATTAGTAATAGTGGTTTTATAATATAATATATAACAACTGTTATCTTATGGCTTAAGGCATTTAAATTAACAACAAATTTTAAATATATTAAAATACTGTACCATTTATAATATTATAAATTATGTTATTTATGATAATGCAAATGACAATTGTTATCTAAATAAAACTTCAAACAAATGATTAAATTAATAAAATAAATAAACAACAAATTTGTTTTAATTAGTACACATAAACTAAAACTAATAAACATTTTAAAAATAATAATTATTTTAATTTTATTTCAATTGTTTTTATATATGTTTATTTTTCCGGAACGGTTTTCCGGTTATTTTTCTCTTATTATTATTTTTTTTTAGTTTAAATTAATTTACTTTTAGACCACCACTCCTTTAATTAAAACAATATATATATATATATATATATATATAAATTATATTTTTCTAAACTATTGAATCAAATTGAATTAACTAAAATTATAGCTTTGATAAGTTTTATATAAAATAATTAATGTCATGAAATAATGTATATAACTTTTACATTATGTTTATATACAGTACTTATAAAGTGTATATAATAGTACTGACTGTTTATATACAGTTATAGGAGTTGGTAATCAAATCAATCTTAATTCAAACAATCTTACATTTGATAGCCAAAGACAAAACCAATTACAGTGATGTTGACAGTGACTATCAATACCATAGGATTGAGTGGAACAGATGGCCTAACCATTGAGTGCAATGATTTGATGCATACATACCCTACTCTGTATATACTGTATAATAGGGATTACATGCTATGAGAGGGGAAAGAGATAGAGAGCTCATAGAGGCGTAAGAGTGGTTAAGACTTGAATCAATTGTTAGTACTTTTACTTAGAAATAATAATAATATGAATCAATTGAATATTTGTTGTGAGGATTAATCACTACAACAATACTTAGAGAGAGAGAGAGAGAGAGAGAGAGAGAGAGAGATGTGACCGCAATATTATATCGTTTTGATTCAATGGTTGACCAAATATCATGAATATGTGGCACTTTTTTAATGCTAATATACAGTATATTTATGTTTTACTATAACTCAAAGATTATATGTGTTTATCAGTTGTCTTGTACTAAGAGGTACTTTACTGACGAGTAGTGATCTCTGTGCGAGAAAATCTACTTTTGTTTTGTCAATCAGTGACCACTCTTATGATATCTACAGACAAATCCTATTGTTTTTTAGAAATTCAAAAACGATAATTATTTTGATTTTTTTTTTAATAATTATTATAAATATCTTATTATAACAACTTTATTATTAAGAGATCAATTACATTAGAGATTATACTGTATAGATTATAGTGATAGTTTATAAATTAAATATAAATTTATTTAATATTATTTATATGAAAAAATACACAACAATAATCATTGTTGTTTAACATAAACGATACATTGACTGTAGTATTGTATTTGGCGCTAATGATTGCCAATCATTTGACAAAACTATGGTTTTGAGCTTTTGATGGCAAACAAGATTACACCAACAAATCATTGATTGTTATTATTTGCTCTCTCTCTCTTTCTCTCTCTCTCTCTCTCTCTCTCTCTCATCGTTGATCATACCATACCATCACTGATGTAAAGCCTATCGGTTTAATCAACGCCTCGCATCTCTTCACTCTTTTATTCTCTCTTTTTCTCCTATTTTTCCTACTCTTTGTTGATTCACATTTGGTTTTATCTATAAATATAAGATGACATACACTCTGAAGTCTTATATTTCTCTCTCTCTCTTTCTTTCTCTCTTTCTCAGCACAACTAGCTATACAATACAGGCACCTATAGGTTGATTGGATTATAAATAAGAGATACATAAAAGTGTGAAAATGTCTATGAATGAGAGCAAAGAGAGAGAGAGAGAGAGAGAGAGAAAGAGAGAGAGAGAGAGAGAGCATACATATGAATTTGTACTTCAATTTGATATAAACCTCAAAGGATTTAGTGAGAGATTTGAATTTCAATCGATTTGTTGCCAATAATTACTTTTTGTGTGTTTAAAGATTTACAAATTTTTTTTATTCTGTATTTCATTAATTATTTAAAAAAATCTTTATTTTTATCATTTATCATTATATCGTTTTCTTATATCAGTAAACCCTAACAAATATTTATTTGAGTATTTTTTTCCACACAAACTAAAAACGCAAACTTTATTTTTATTATTCACTAAATAAATTAAACCATTTGATAGATAATGTCTTTTATGATTAAAAAAAAAATAATTTTCTGCTGATTTTTCAAAAAAAATAAATACTTGTAAAAACCTCTAAAAGTATATATATTTTTATTGTCAAATTGTGTGTATGTTTTGTGCGGCAAAAACACTTTGTTTGTTCACTTCATTTGATGTTCACATTCATTGCCGGATAACCTAATAATCAAAGTTTTAATTAGATTTCATAGCAATCTCTATGTAAATCAATTCATGTATTTTTGCAAACACCGAACAAAACAAAAAGCCAAATGGTTTTCAATTTTATTTTTATTACAAATATTTATAACATTTTTTTTGAAACACACTGTTAGCTATGTAACAGTACATCTACCAGTGTATATTATCTATTAGTACTACAATATAATACTAGATTTTTATAGCCACACATATATAAAGTATTGTCATCCCATAGTGTCTGTGATTGTATTGACAATAGGCTTATAGGGATGACATAATCTATGAAATGGTTTTATTTTGTTTGCCTAAATATACTGTTTTATACAATATATATATATATATTGCTTACCTATTTTTATTTTTATACAAACAAACTAAATTAAATCTAAAATTTTTTATTATAACTAAATTATTGTGTCTTTTATAAAATGATATATATAGACATATACTTGTAGACGTATACCTAATTAGATTAGTTTTGCCCCAAAACAATAGGCCAAACAAATTGTGATTGAATTTTATTGTTTTGTTTTTGTTTAAAAATTTAATTTAACAAAATGTATATTATTAAATAAATTTAGATTTTAGACAAACATTTCATGGTTTTAAAAAAGTTTTATTTTATTATAAATGTTTTAGTTTTTTAAATTTATATACGGTTTATATTTAGTTAGATAAAAACTTATCATATAATCTTTACATTAATTATATTTATTAGTATCAACGAAATATTTAAAAATTGTTTGATAAAATCAATATTTTTTCAATTCATATATTTTATGATTATATACGAACTACAGTATAACTTATATACAGTATATAAATATCAAATGTCAAGTTTTATGACCAAAAAATACGCTTAAAAACCATAATATTGTAAATATTTTTTCTAGTAAATAAAATCTTGTTTTGATCATAAAATTTTTATATACATAAGACAATAGGGAATGAATAATATCAATAAACAATATCAAAGTTCCTTATGTAATATACAATATAATTTACTATATATCACTATACTATATATACAACATATACTATATGTCATATAATATACTATACAATATATACTATAGTAAGTGGCATATATTATATATACACGCATTTAGTTTGATGTTAGCTAACGATTCAAACCATAATCCATCCAAATCATAGTCATAGTGTTGGATCCAATATTGTAATACATTTGTCTTTTGTTTGGTTGCAATCATATGAATGGATGGCATAAACTATTATAGTGTGTGTGTGTTTGTGTGCAGAAATCACCTAACTGTGCGTTAGATTTGATGCCCAAAAATTGCTAGATTTATAATAATATTGTTATATAAGCTCATTGTTGTTTAGTTATATATATAACAATTGAAACTTTTTTTCTTCGCTTTCTCATATCGTTTATGTGTTTGCAATAAGTGTTGGATGAAGTGTTTAGGCGATTGTATTCCCTATATATTCACACATAGACTGCCTAATGATCACATCATACTTATGGTTCATTATATCGGCTGAACCTCATAGGTCTCTGTAACATAACTATCCATATGATACTATAGTTTCTCTCACTTGAATACAATGTGTGAGAGAGAGAGAGAGAGAGACCAATCTTTTTATTTTCGGGTAACTCTCTTGAGATCTCATTTTGCTTGCAATGTTTGCAACAAATTTTTATTTTGTTATTTTCATTTGAAGATTTTATTTAATATTATATGAATCTCTCTCTCTCATCCTTTCTAGTACTTACTCTATTACAATACATTATATATATCTATATATATATATATATATATATATATTTGGGAGTTATTATGAAAACTCATTTATTTAATCAAAATTTAAATTTTTATTTTTATATCATTATTAATATTTTATTATCAAAGAAAATCTATTATATTAATAGGATAAAAGTTTAAATAGATTTTGGAAAATAATAATAATAATTGTGTATTACTATAGTTAGAGAAAATTAAAAATATTACCAGAATTTTTGAGTTGATTTTTTTGTGTGTGAATAACTATGAATTGACTTATTTATTGTAATACAAACTTAATTCTCTATATTTAATATAAATAGTCTAAATCTACACTAATGTTATTTGTTATATAAAAATAAAGTTATTTCGATTTAAATGAAACGGTTATACTTTGTGATTCAAATACTTAACAAAACATATTATAATAAGACTAAGTTTTACATACAGTATTCAATATATTAATAAAATATTGTTTGTATAATATTTTAATATTATATAATGAATAATTTATATAATAAATTCATTCATTCATTCATTTATTTTATTTATTGTAATACTATATAATAAGCAAAAATTTTAATATTAGAATTAATATTATTAAAATTAATTATTAATATGATTTTCGGAAATAAAATTTGATTTTAGGTGAAAAACCTCACAAATGCTCGGTTTGTGGCAAAGCCTTTAGTCAGTCATCCAATTTGATAACCCATTCCCGCAAACACACCGGTTTCAAGCCATTTGCCTGTGATGTGTGCGGCCGAGCATTTCAGCGTAAGGTCGACCTCAGGCGCCATAAGGAAACACAACACTCGGACATCAGATCACCCGGAGGTCATATGCCGGCCGTATCGGCGACGACAATGTCGTCATCAATCAATGGCAATCCTGTGATGCCGTCATCGCAGCCACCATTAGTGGCCAATACAGACCATATGAGATGTAATTATTAGTTTGTGAATAATATAACATATAATATAATAATATGTTATTTACAAAAATATTGGTGCATAATCTCTATGCTTGATGTTGTTGTTGTTGTTGTAATATGTTTTTATTAATTTAAACTAAATTAATGATTTAAAATTTAATAATTTAATTTAGACGATAATAATTATTATCATATAAACAGTACAGTTAACCATTAACAGTCATACACACTAATAATAACTGCACATAATTTTTTTTATTTATTAAAAACTATAGAAATTAAATTTTAAGCTATAATTTTTCCTGAACACTCTAAAAAATTGAAAATATAATTATTTTTAACAAACAAAAATATAATGAAAAAACTAATATGTTTGGATATCTGTAAAAATATTGTTTTTTAAATATTACACATGTATAAAGTTGTTATTTATTAATATTAAGTTTTTAATTGATTATTATTACTATTATTATCGAGTAAAATATCTATACACTAACATTTTTATAAATTAAGATAAATAGTATTTAATGTATAAATTATAAAACATAATTAATTAATTAATTAATATACTAAGATAAAGGTATTTATTTTGAAAATATATCAATTAAATTAAGTTAGTTAAAAATAAGGTTAAAATATAATTATACAGTATATTAAAGTGCAATGAATTTCTAAATTAAAATTTTATTTTTTATTTTAAAAAAAAATTTAATTAATAATTTTAACTCAATTTGATTATTTTTATTTTTTATTTCATATCAAATTAGTAGTTATAAATAATAGTTGATTAAATAATATTGAATATCAATTAAACTATTTTTAATGAATTGTATTTGACATAAATATGTATAATTATATTATCTAAAACTACTTAAAAGTAATAACAAAATTTCAAATTAATTATTATGTACTATATTTATAAAATTGTGTGTTTATGTGAGTGTATATTTGTGTCAATTATAAATATTTATAAAAAATATGCTTTTAAAAAATTGTAGTGTCATTGATAAAGTTGGACACATCTAAATATATTGTTATTATTAATATTATATATATAAAGTCATAATAATTAACTATTATTAAAATTATCGATTTTAGTAAATGATGTAGAAATTATTGTATAATTGATCAATAAAAAGTTGAATAACAATTTTTTGAATGCTAAAACATTGTTTAATCATTTAAAAGTTTTTTATAACTATTTTTTATCAATTAGTTTTAATTTTTTTTTTAAATTTAACAATTTTTCAATCTTTGATATTTATTATTTTCAGTTATATGGTGTCTATTATACAGTATTTTTCAATTACGATTTCAAGTCACAATATTTATATTAGTTTAAGTCAAGAGTAGGAAAAAACAAATAATATTTTAAAGTTTTATGTTTGTAAACAAAATCTTATGAGACGTGATTTTTTTCCCAGTCTAACAAATTGTATCCAAAAAAATCTATACAAAAGTTGAGTAACTAATAATCAAAGTAAATCTACAATTTATTTTTTTTGACAAAAATAAGTTTAAAACTAATATTTACTTTACAATTGAAAATAATAGTTACATAGTTTTACTCAATTCAACTAAGATTTAGTATAAAAGGTAAAAATTAAATTATTAAACATGTGCTAAATTAAGCAAACATTTATAACTATTACTGTACTATCAATATAATTATTTAATATATATATAAAAATATTTATTTGTGGTTATCATCGGGAAATAAATTGGTTAATATTTAGTATTAGTATTGTAAATAAATTTGGATAATCAAAAACATCCGAAATTATCTATCTGTCTGTCTGTCTGTATGTGTTAGTGACAGACAAATATGTGCGCAAAAATTCATGTCATATACCGTAAGGAAAATTGTTTGAAGAGATCCCACAGGACTTTCCACAACATAACTGTGCTCTCGATGTTATTGAATGAACGGACGAAACTGGATGAGAGTGGAGAGAGAAATGTGTGTAAAGTTGTGGCAAATATAAAGATTTCAACCACTGTTCCGGTGTGTGTGTGTGTATGTATGTGTGTGTGTGTGTGTGAGTGAGTGAGTGAGTGAGTGAGTGAGTGAGTGAGTGTGTGTGTGTATGAGTGTGTGTGTGTGTGTGTGTATGTGTTGTCAGTCAGCTCACGTCTCACTATATTTTTTTGTGGTGTGCAATCACTTTGACTACAGGGCGCTCAGACCTACTCATTGATTTAACTAAATACTAAGTTTTCGGTCAGTATTTTGATTATCATAACTTATAGAATACTGTAGTATTACTCCAACATTTTTATGATAACAATTGACACAAAAAAAACTAGATTATCATTTATATAAATTCATATTTTTAATTATAATAATTTTATATTTTGATCTAATTCATATTGATGATGAAGATGATTTATTAGAATATCAGGGTCATAATTGATTTAATAATAATTGTATGATTTAAATAAGCATAAATAAATCAATTTTTATAAAAATTAATGAACAAAAAATATGTATATTTATACTCCAAGTAATCAATGGGGTCTCATCTGTGATATACTATATGTTCAATATATTGGGAAATATAAATATTATTAAATCAAACGTTTGTATCAAATGGAGTAACCGATTACTGTATGAAAAAGGTCTGTACGATGGCATAGATTGGCATCAATTGGTTGTGTGTTTGGATGTGGAGTGCAGATCACGTCCGGAACAATCAGCGAACGATGTTTTCAAACATCCCTTGAGAGCCGATATCCCAACTCAATAGCACTGTTACCATCCATTTGCTCTCTCAATGAATGAATCCCATCCATGATTTTCTAGTATATCATTCAATTGCAACACACAATATATATATAGTATATACAATATAAGTTTGCTATGATTTGAAGCATCAGTTTTTATGGTACTCCTAGTCATCTAATGCTTCAACTCTATCTTTATTATTATTATTATAACATCGTCTCTCTCTCTCTCTCTCTCTCTCTCTCTCTCTCTTTCTATCACTCACTCACTCACTCACTCTCTAATTGTTGTGTCGTTTTCTTTTATTAACACAAATTGGTCTCAATTAGTAATGTCATTAAATTAGGTTAAATCTCTTGACTAATAGTATCCGATAATAACATGTACTGTAAAAAAAAGTTAGAGTCAATCACTAACTTTATGTGTAATGAAAGCCTAAATAGTTTGTGACTATCTTTTTCCTTTATTTTGCTTTATTTTATTGATTGTTTTTAGCAAATTCTATATATATATATATATATATATATATATATATTGTATAAGTTTACATTTTCTTTATTAATATCTACAATACTTTTTTGTTGTTTGAATAATTTATAGTTCATTATTACAAAATTTTTTTATAGAGTATTACAGTTGTTTCAAAAATATAATTTTATCATTTAATACTTTCTTATTACTATCATTATTATAACTTTAATTTAATCAAACCTATCGAAACATTTTATTTTTATGTACTAGAAATTCTAAAATACTATAAATATATATATATATATATATAATGTAATAATATAATAAATGTTTTGTTTAACTCAAAACTTTTTAAATCTATTTGAAGTAATAGTAAACTATAATAATAATAATAATAATAACTTTTTTCTTTTAACTCTCAGAGAGTTTTCATTAGATTTGATGAACACTTTTAGCACTTTAATAAACCCATACAATGTGTATGTGTTTAAAAAAAATTTCTGGTATTATTTGTTGTGTGTGTGTGTGTGTGTGTGTGTGTGTGTGTGTGTGACCACTCCTATTGAAAACTCCTACGAAAATTGATTTTATTAGACAAAAAAATCTTGTTTTTTATTTTCCAATACAAGTCTCTGGTAGGAAAGTTAGCACAAAAAAGCGAGATTACTATTCCAGTGAACACTTGGCCTCAAAAAAAGTAAAAAATAAAATAAACACTAAAAATAAAGTTTCATCTCTTTGTTGCCGATTTCAGTACAACTCATAAAATACACTTATAGTCTACAAAACAATTGATTGATTTTTTCTATCCTTATTGTTAGTGTTAGTGTTGTTATGCACCCAATGTTTTATAGAATAACTGTTCTCCAATTTACTCCAGCAATGGTCCGGTGCTGAGACTTGTATTGTATATTATGAGAGACAAAGTGTGTCAGACCCTAAATATATGGCCAAATCTCGTGGGTAATTGTATTGTATTGTACGGACCGAAGCGAAAATGAGTACTAATGAAATCACAGACCACTTCTTGCTTTAGGGTCTCTCTCTTTTCCAGTCTGACTGTGCACTGACTGCTGGAGTGATTGAATAAAAATGTTTGGGCTCAGCATCTCTCTCTCTCTCTCTCTCTCTCTCTCTCTCTCTTTCATTCATTCATTCAATCACCCATAGCTCACATCTATTGATTGACTGTGTATACTATATGCATCTAAGCACTGTTAATACATGAGCTCCCTATATCTAATCGGATCCGATTTGATTTGCAATGCATTTTCTCTTTGAAAGATATATATATATATATATATATATATATATATATATATATATATATATATATATATAAAATAGAAATGTTGGACAAATAGTGTTACCAATTGATAAATGGCAAACAATTGCCAGTTTGTATCACTTACGTATTGTGTGTGTATATGAGTGTAACAATTGCCTCAATAATAAAGTTTGAGGACTTTTTTTTGCAGCAATAGTTCGTTACAATAGTCTATTGATATAAATATATTCATACAATATGTTAACATGATCTGTAAATTAGCATTCAATGGCTGAGGGGGGTAGCCAAGGGTCGCGTATTAAAATTATTGCATAGCTTATCATTGACATTGACTTTGTTAATAAATAAAATAAAAAATTTCTGATTTATAGCATATGGAAAATTATTGGCATAAATATTAAACAATCAATTTAATTAACTTAAATGTTTATAATTTATAGGAGGCCTTTACCAAACTAACAAAAGTACAATTTTATTAATGTTAAACTTTTAGTTAATGGTAGATTTTTGTTGTTATTGTATATAAACATATAAAACATTTTTTATAGTATATATATATACTATATATTTATATATTTAATCTGAATTTTTATTTGAAGCACAGTTAGCATTATTATGAAGTGGGATCCTCGCTCTTCAAAAAAGGCGTTACCTATCGATAAACATTAGATAAATTAGATTTTATTTTATGTGAGTTTGATATATAATATTAAATATAAGTATAAAACTTAATAACAATACATACTATTGTTTACCATAATGTTATATACATCGTATATCACTGTTTTTATTTTATTTTTAAAAAATACTGTATATATATATATATATATACTGTATATATTGTATGTATACAATGTTTATTCAATAAATATAATTATAAAGAAAAATATGGGTCCGTAAGCAAACAAATGTGTAAAATAATATTTAATATACAGTATAACAATAACAGAGATGATTAAAAGTATTTCAAAAAAAACTGTTGTCTAATAATAATAATAATAATAATAATAATACTGTTATAATATCGAAATTATTATACTGTAGTTATTCCCCCTATTGTTTGAATATATAATATTTTAGTATTTAGTGTTTGTCTAATACATTATTGGATACAAATTTGATTTTTATTTAATTTACTTTATATACTTAATATACTTTTATACAGTATTGTACTACTATTCACATTAAAATTAAATTTACCTAAACATGACATTCAAAGTGCTGACTAAAGAGTTTGAAACCATCAGAAAAACAATAATAATAATAATAATAATACATGTGTAGGCTATTATATACAGTCTGTTATATCCCTGTCCTCTATATGTTTATCCTCCCTATCTTAATGATATACTTCTATATGACTAAAAACATTACAATTGTAGGGACAGTACACTAAAGCAAACAGTGACACAATAATAGAGGTTTCAGTTCAATAGGGTTTATATAAAATTTATATATCGATATATATTATATACAATACAAACACTACTATAATGTATGTAAGGTATTGTAAATGTTAGAGAAATAAAGGCCAGTCATATAATAATAGAAAAGTAATAATAATTGTGTACATAAAGTGATGGTTTGTGTCTTCTATTGTTGATTATCTATGGCTATGATTAACACTGAGATCCCCAATAAATATCAGAGGAGGTACTCAAACAATAAAATACAGTACTTTTATCCTAAATTTGTGTGTCTGTATGAATGTATGTATGTATGTATCAAACATAAGCTAACTGTCCACACAGTGTCACACAGAGCCATTCATTCACTCCCTTTTTCCAACAAATAATATATTATTGAATCCCAATCTCATTAACCATTTATATATTGTGTGCACATTTCTGGACAGCATTTTGTGAACAATTTTTCAAATATTACTTTTCATTAGTCAGCTCTCTCTCTCTCTCTCTCTCTCTCTCTCTCTCTCTCTCTCTCTCTCTCTCTCTCTCTCTCTCTCTCTCTCTCTCTCTCTACAAATGGACTGTCATTTATTTAGGAATCTCTTAATATTAATGGGAATTCCTATCAATATGACTGTTGGTATATATATAAATTTATATCTGATTATGTGTTTGGATTTAAATGAGTCAAAACTTCTGAAAAACCTAATAATATTATATTATAACTTACAGTAAGGCATAAATCAGATTAATCTATTGGACACTAAACAATGTTTCATATAATTTATGGTCAAAACAAATCAGTCCTCAATATTCACTACAAATAATTGAAAATTGTATTTAGAAAAATACCGCATATCCTATCATTTCATATTATTTTCAATATCAGTGCTTTTATATATTTACTGATTTATTGATATAAATTATATAAACAACTATTGGGACTCAATTTTGCATATTACTAATGTAATGTAAAATGTAATTTAATATTTTGACATTTATTATATTTGTATCTATTATACTATGATTTTCAAGATTTCAAATATTTTATTGAAAAGAAATTAAAAATAACTATATTTATCTAATTGTTTTACTTTAGATAAATACTGTATAAATATACACAATGTATTTTACACAATGGTTAGTCAATTATAAATTATAATTTATAATATTATACTAATTTTATTCATTACTGTAATGTATATGTGTTTAATATATGTCAATTAAATTTTAGTTTTTTGCGCTATTTTTTCATAATTTTACTTTATATTTGAATGACTACGTTAATGGATGAGTAATAGTAAATGGTGAGTGAGTGGGTGAGTTATTATTTAATTTTACTTTATTTGTTTCATTTATTTTTAAATTGTAAATTTGTATAAATATAAAGTAAAAACAAAAAATATATAATTTTTTTATAAGTTCATTCTGATAATGCTATATTAGATTCTCAACTGGTTTTCTATAAATTATTATAGACTATAATATGAATATTTTTGATAGGGTTTGACATTATGCAGATGTTTGCATTGTATTCATTATAGTAGACAATAATATAGTCAGTCTAGTGATCTAAATATCAATATTATAAAAGTTTTATTGCCATTGCATTTGACTTTTTGTTAGCCGTTTTCATCAATCAATTCATTTTCATTATTACAAAAATCTTTTAGTGTTTATTATGGAAAACAACTGTAACGGATTGGACACAATAAATAAAGGTTAGATTTATATACAATATAATATATATATATTACGATATATTAATCTAAATGCAATATAAATAGTGATATACAGTATTAGTTATTGATTTTATATATAAAAATATATATATACTCTATGCATGTTATTTGTTATGCATATTGCAAAACTAAAAACAAAACAAATCAAAAATATCAATCTATTAGATTATGGTATAATTGCGCAAATAAGCAAACATCACTACTATATATATATATATATATATATATATATATATATATATATATATTGGTGGACATAAATATAAATATATAAATTGAATGGCAAACCACTTTTGTAATCATATTTACATAACTAGATTATTATTATTATTATTTGTCAAAAGGCATTGCCGTTTTGTTGTTGTTGTTGCTTTATATAGTAAAGGGACTGTTAGAGGAAAAACACATAACTATTTTTATTTGATTATGTATTTAGCAAATTATTAGACAAATAAAATCGGACCACATTTGACGAGCACTGGTATATAACAAATGTTCCCGTGATTGCTACATATTTTTGTTGTTATTATTGTTATATTGATCAGTGTATGCATATTACATATTATGTATAATGTTTTATAACATTATTTGCACAGGTAGCAAAAAAACATACTATACTAGATATACTTTACAAATACAGCAGTTTACATTAAACATTGACTGATAACTAACCAAATTTAATCTATAAAATATAATAGTATTGTAAAAACAAACTTTCAATAACAATACAACAAAAATCAATTTCTATTATAGCTATAAATTTTTATTATTTAAATAAATCTTATTTTTGAATAGCAGTGCAAAGTTAGCAAAAAAATTGATTGAATAAGTTATTACAATGTTTTATATCAAAATAATTTTTAATAGAGAGACTTATTATTATTATTATATATAGGTGTAACTGTCCATCGATTTGTCTATCCATCTATTTATCCATCTATTGCTCTAAATCAGCACTTGTAGTAAACAAACAAAAATAATGGTGTGAACTGTTTGTCCGATTGAGGCGTTTATCTATAATAATAAAAAAGTAATTATCCATTAATTCACACGCAAATAGTTTTGTGTACAGTACAGTATGTCTGTGTGACTTATATATATATATATATATATTTACCGTTTACTTACCGTTACCACTAATGCCCTAATAGTTTAATGACAAAAGTAACGGTAGTTTTTTTTATGTCGATGCTGTTGTTGTTGTTGATGGTGGTGATGATGATCGACGCCTAATGCAAACATCAAGCAAACACCACAACAAATCAAATATCTTTTATATATATGATTATAAATAGTGAGTAGTCGTGTGTCGGCAACATTGGCTAAGAAGAGAGTGTTTTATCAAACCATACCTTTCCTTTTTTTTATTCATACAAATACTGACTGCGATTATTATTAATCACTGACTATTGCAATAATAGAGTGGAAATGGAGTGAAAATGAGGGGAAACTGATGGGAGAAAGTGATGACCTGACGGTCGGACAGTTGCACAGGGAGTCAGTCGTACAATAAATGGTTTGGTTGTGTACGGGTATTATAGATTGATGGGCTCATGGAAAGGGCTTTTAGTCGGTTTTTATAGTTATTATTATATTATATAATTGGGTATAAAATTGGACATCAAATATATATATATATCTAATAGGAAAGTGACTGAAAATGGAGTGTCGTATGAATGGACGTGTGTCGGGCACGCGATCATCAATAAGTGTGCACTCAAATTATATTTATATATATTTATAGGCGAAACCATTTTTCTGGACAACCATTACTATCTACCAGAGCTATCAATTTTTTCTTGTTGTTGTTTGGTTGTTGATAATTATTGTTTAACATAAAAATAAATAATTGTATTAGTAGTTCAATCAAATCTTACTTTTAATAATAACTAATATTGATTGAAGTAATGTACAATTATTATTACAGTATTATTTTTGAATAAAATATAAATAAATATCAATAACAAAAATATAATTTTAATATATAATTTAAGTAATTATTAAGATCGTATAATTAATATGTTTTATGATTTTATTATTTTTTATTTAATTTGTTGTTACCATTGTTTGCAGTAAATATACAATACATTAGCTTATGCTCTAATATGCAACTCCTTATTAAAGTAAAGATAATTGATTTATCAAATTAAAACACATAATTAAATAGTTAAAAATAAACAATATAATTTATTGATTTATTAATTATTATTAGATTATACTATACTCTATAATTTATTACAGTAGTAGAAAATAAATTAATATAGACTTTAAATAATTATACTATGAAGATATTATTACCAATTTTTTAGTTATAGATATTACTAATAAAAATATATTAAGTTTCCAGTAATATGTTATAAAAGTTTCCATAAAATATAAAAATAAATTAAAACTATATATTTAAAAAATTAGTAACACAAAATTGAATATTTAGTAAAACTATTTAATTTATTTACTAATTTAATATACAGTACATTAAAATTGATCAAAATATTGTCAATCAATTAACACACAAAATAAATCTATTAGATGTCAATATATTTATATAATAATTATATTTTTTTCTCAACAAAATCAATATCCATTAGTGATGTGATTGTCGTAAAGTTAATCAAATAGTAATCCCTAATCTTAAAACTGGTGTCTCTGATCATCAAAAGACATTTGATCTCATTTTGTAGATCTACTCTTTCGGACTGTCGATTACGGGCACAGACAGCACTCCGTCCACTGCCTGTTACGTACAACACTTCTTCACGATGTCGTACATCCAATGCTTTGACTATGCGATCAAAAGTGTCGACTTTGGCCGAACTTCCGATCTGTTCGTCGAAAATACGATCAATATATTGGAAAATATCATCATTTGATGGCAACAATCGTCGGATAGTTGTTTCGTCATACGCTGAAAGCAACGCTATTTTAATGTCTGACAACTTGTCTCGGAATCGTTTGAGAGCCGGCACTACATCCGAGTATACCTTGAGTTTGATCCGATTTTTTTCGAGTCCATCCAAACAAACTAATTTCTGTAGTCTTAGAGCATCGTTAGAAACTCGATGATTGTTTGTCTGCCAATCGATATAAGTGACAACCGATTCGAGTATCTGTTCGGTTGTGTGTTCCGGTAGTTCATCGACAACAACGGGACACTCAGAGTATCCATAGTCAGCCCTATCGTAATTAGATCTTTGACGCAAATTTGCAATTATTTGATTGATTTGGTTATCATTTTTATGTTCAGTCAAATAGTTTAACATATTGTCTCTGATATAGGGCTCAATGTATCGCTGATCAACTTTGTTGTCCACAACGACACCTTCAAAGCACAGGATTATCACTTTAGGCTTAAATACTAAAACATTTTCATTGTCCGATTCGTTGGTATCAGTCATTGTACAGTAATTGGACAGTTAGTTAAAATTTAATGATTATTTTATAATTAATATGATTTGTGTAAAATATTTAGTATAATTTATTTTTTAAATTATTTATCACGAGATTTTTATTAGTTTATTCAAAATTACTGTTTAGTATATCTGAAGATAAATATTTGTATTTTATTTGTATTTATGATTTTATAAATAGTCTATATTTCTATTAAATATATAAATATTTTCAAATAGAAATGTCGTTTAAAATTAGATTGTTATAAATAATATTGGATTTTAAACCTCAAAAACCCTATTCACACTTAAATATATAGATATATGAAATAAATTTAGTCGAAAATATTTTTAATACTTATTTATTATAATATATATTTTTGCAATAAAACATATATTCAATATATTTATATTAATAAATTTTACTTATAGAATATATTTTATGCAATCAAAAAATATTTTCTAATCAATTATGGTTTTAACTCACTTTTTTAAAAATTGTATGATAGGATTATGAGATATAAAAATTTTATAATATTTATATAACTATATTTGAATTGAAATATTTTACTTATATTATCTAAAATCTATCAGCAAATATGTCAATATAGATATGGTATATTTATTTAAATATCGATTATTTTTAAGTATAACAATAGTATAGCATACATAATTAATAATTTTTTTAGCAAAAAAAAAATAATTTAATAGTAATATTTGCTGATTAGCTTTGACACACACACACACACACACATACATAGCCAAGTAGTTGATATGGATTTTAATTAAATAACATTTAATTGATGATATGTTGAGGAACAGGGCTAATGAATCAGTATATAAATGATTGAAATCAGTAATAAAAGTTAGGGAAAGTATGTTTGAGATTCCTGTGACACCAAAAATATGTACTCTAAATATATTTTATAAGCAATAAAAAAGTATTTTCAGATATAATTTATATATATTGTGTGTGTGCTATGAATGTTATTATAAGTACTGTACATACAGTATATACGATATAAAATATATATACAGTACAGTATGTGTGTGTGTTTTATCTGGTGATCCCATTCCTCTCTAAATCTAATACAATATAAATTATGTTAAAATACATATAACTCATGACAAATGATTATGCCATCAGTAATAGCACCGTTAGGTTTGTTGTCGGCATAAAAGATGTACATCATTATCACAAATAGCACAACTGTAACATTTCCGACTGTGGGGTTGTCGTATTAGGCACAGGGATTATAGATGTGAATTAACACTTGGATCGGAACCCACAAGTTATAATCAATTTTTAAAGTTACAGTTCTCACAATTAGGATGTCATTATTATATGGACAGTTAGATGACAAGTCTAGTTGTAATAATAAAGTTAATTATAATATTATTATTTTAAATGATAAATGCAATGTAAACTCTTATAAAACATTTTGATAAAATTTAAGATATGCTATATTTTTGTTGTTATTTATTAAAAAAGTAAAAGTTACAAAAATTTCATAATATATTTTAAGATCAATTTAATCGTAAATATAACAGTTTTTTCTTCAACATAAAAATATTAAGATTTTCTAGTGATAACCCTCTTAATAAAATTAGAAATTTTTGTTTTTTATTCTACATTTAATATATATATATTTTTTTATTTCTCATAAGAAACATAACAAACCGGAACCAAAAGTCAAATTAATATAAATGTTATATTTTAGTGAAACTAAATACACTATGATATTGAATATAAAGCTATAAAATATAATATAAAAATAAACTGATAATTAATATACTGTATTTATAACAATTGATTTAATTGATATTTATGCAAAAAGTGATATATTATTATTATTTTTTTATCTGATTAACCATTTTATTTTTCAATAAATATATAATAACTATTTTGTTAATTTTTAATTAAATATAAAAAATATCATAGAAATTAATTTCTTGTTTTATTTATATTTTGAAAGTTAGTTATGGAAAACTACTAAATAAAAAAACAAATCCTAAACACATAGAAAAATAAAAAATATTTTAATACTACTACTAATACTAATAATGATAATAAAAATCTAAACCTATTTTCAGTGCAACATTGAATAGATTTTAATGCTTTTATATATATATTTTTAATATTTAATTCCATATTTATTGCTATTATTAATTATTTTATACATGTTTTTTGTATATAGTTTATATAGTATTTTTTTACTTAAATTAATTTTTACAGTAAAATTGTTTCATTATCGGGAAAATGGAGCTCTCGGTGACCAAAGGGTGGTCATACATACAGTTCCCCACTGTTTTACAATGACATCAAAACTCTAACAGTTTTATATATTTATGTCATAATATAAAATAATGATAACATTACTTAAAGTTATATATATATTTGCTACCGGTTTGCAATTATAATGATTACTTATCTACTTATAGATTATAAGTTTGATTATTAAAAGCATGTCTATCAATGGTATCATCACTACTAATGCAACTACAGTTAGGTTTTATTACTGGTGCACACATTTATTAACCAGTGCTCAATATGAATGTACTACAGACTGTAGTCTAAATATGTACTGTATATATATATAAATATATACAAATTTATATTTATATATATATTGTATAATATATATTTAGAGGACAATTATTTATATATAAGTTAATTAATGAAAAGAGTTCCCATTAGTGATTCAGGCAATGTGTAAACAGTTTAGTCATTTGTATTGCCAGTGTTGGCTGGTCTGCAAAAAATTATTGATAATAATAATAAAGCACTGGTTATGGACACAAATGTAGGGCGGATTTGACTTTTATTTGATTAGTTATGAAAGTTTTTTTCGTTGTTATTATAGTACAGTATATGAAATGGTTAGACGGCTTGTGAAACATCCGTTTGATTGATCACTAAAACATGTTCTCTCTCTCTCTCTCTCTCTCTCTCTCTCTCTCTCTCTCTCTCTCTCTCTCTCTCTCTCTCTCTCTCTCTCTCTCTCTCTCTCTCTCTCTCCCTATAGATACACATATAGATATATGTATTGAATATATAAAATACAATCACGTGTTGCAGTCAAACAATTTATAATACTGTATGTTTGATAATTTGATTTTTCCAAAAGGTTTTATTATTATTATAAAACTAATTTCATATTCACAATATAGTCTACATATTATTAATTATAAGCTATAAATTTTTGGACAATTTTTTGTTATTGAAATTCTAAAAATAATTGAAACCCATTAATGTCAGGTAAAAAAACTAACTCCCAATTGTTATAAAAATCTCTGTGAATGTGATATAAATTATACATAAATATATTAAAAAAACAAATATAACTTTTATTAAAAAAAGCAGTGAAAAAATTGATTTTTTACTGTTTGTACAGTATATATGTATTTCAATCTCTTTTTTATAATAATAATTAGTGTATAAATCTATAGTAAAATTGTGTTATCGCTAATTAAAAATATTTTATATATAGTAATATCATATTGCATAAATAATACAGTAATACTGTATAATTACTTGAAATAAAATTTTCAATTTACTAAACTAATTATAAACTGTCTAAATACTAATTTAAATGCTCAATAATAATGCATTGCAAACAGCTTAACAAAATTGACTCACTAAATGATAAATATTATAAAGATCAGTGATATAAACCTCAAAAAAATAATAATATATTAATAATGAGAAAATTATAAAATTTTCTATAAAAACATATTAAGATGAGTGTCGTGTCTCTCATAGATATATTAATATAATATATCACAGTATAAGTCAATGCACTCACAAAAAAAAGTTTTCAATCATTTTGCGCCTTTAAACAAAAATCTCTCAATTTGTTGGCTAATATTATATTAAATGTAAAATCTGTCATTCAGTGGCACATCTGACACAACATCACTGACACACACACAGGAATGTATTATTATTATTATTATTATTATTATATTATCAACCAATACATCATCCGATTTTTATAATAAGCAAAATAATTTTGTGAGATTAATGTATGTGAGATTTACTTTTATAATTATGATGAATATAAATGAATGTAAGAGAGAGAGAGAGAGAGAGAGAGAGAGAGAGAGAGAGAGAGATAAAGATAGAGAACCGGTAGCTTATACTTCACTGTTGTTATTGTTATAGATTTTTCGCCCATCATTTTAATCATGTTATATTTGTTTTGAATTATGATGATGATAAAAGCAATTTAATTATTAATACATCAATTTATGAAATTGCACCGGGGCACCGGTGGTTATCAAAACGGTTTTTTTAAGTGCCGGTGTCTATGTATGTGTGGGTGTGTGTGTGCGTCTGTGTGTGTATACAAAGGGTATAAATTTATATTACTAATAGTATTGTCAAATGTATTAAAAAAATAAATTATGTTATTTCTTAAATTTAACTTTAATTTGATTTTTATAAACACATTTTATCAATAATTGAATTATAAATATTATATTGTGTAATATTTTATCAATTTATCAAAAGGGTTTAAACTTGTTAGCAATAGTAGTAGTATTTATCTTTTTTTAGAAATTTATAAATTTCATATGAAACTCAATTATATTGTTATAAATCTAATAAATCTAATAATTTTAATTGAATTAAAATTAATTGTAATATTATCTAATTTTATTTTTTTATTACTTTTGTGCAACAATTTTTATTTTTCTTTAGATTAAGATTAATTGATAAGTTTTAAGCATAATAATTTTACAAAAAAAAATAATATTACTTTATTTTTAAAATACTGTATTAATTTTTTATTATTATCATTATATAAACTTCAAATTATAAAGAATATACAGTAAATTAAATTTAATTGATTTTATTTTATAGAAATTTTGATTTATAATTATAATCAAATACTACGGAAATATTAATAAATCATTAATTCAATTGGAAATTATTGCTTATATTTTACTGTTTAGTGAGTTCTTAAATAATTTATTTATTTATTTTGTAAAACATTTTAAAATCACAATTTATTGGTTAAATTTT